ATATAATAAAAATAATATGTGATATAAAAAATAAAATATTTTTCGTCGAATATTCTGTGTTAAAAGAATTTCGGTGTCAGTTTGATTCTCTATTAATTTGTCTATTCCACTTCATCGAAAATTAGAAAAATGTTCTGATAATTACCACGAATATTCGTCGATTAAAATTCCTCTGGCTCCCGGCAGGATCAATTGTTTCCAGTAGATTTATTCTCGATACATCACGTTCAACTGTTCGAGAAAGTTCCGAATTAATTTCACTTTATCGTCGTACGCTGGATTTAATTTCGAACTCACGTAGCTCTTGCTTTCGCCTTGGGAACGTTTGTCTAGGATCGTTCTTTGGAGATTGGCCGTTCTGTTCAGAAATTGGTTCTTTCTTGCTCGTGTCTAGGGTGGGCGGGGCGAGGGTTGCGGAGGAAACTGCGGTGTTTTGCGGAGATTAAGTATAATTTCTCTCGAAGAACAATCTTTTTATGAGATTAATGAAATGTTAGATAATTTTTTTGAGAAAAATATCTCGTTTCTCTATCGATTGAAAATAATTAAAATCTCTTTTCAATAGTTTATTTTATGATCGAGCTATTCGCGAAGTAATTGGGCAAATGAGCATACAATATTATATGCAATTGATTGTACATAAAAAACCAAGTCAAAAATGTAGAATAACATTTTTCCATACGAGGCTCCGTTTTTGAGAAAATTGGCTTTAAATATCTGTGCGAAGGGTGTGCTCTTAGTTGTGGTTTTAGTCGACAGATGTCGCTGCGGATTAATTTTTCTGTTCACGTTTGCTATCTTAAATATTCTCGATGAAATATATGGCTTTGCAATAGTCTTACTATTTTATTTTCATCGAAATGAACAGTCAGCATCCATTTTTATATATGTATAGTGAGTGCAACCCCACAAATATTTCAAGTCAATTTTCTCCAAAATGGCGTCTCGTAGGAAAAAATTTTATTTTACATTTTCGACTCATTTTTTCATGTAGAATCGTTTCTATCTCGAATTCAACTCTGTATATAAGAAAATCCGGAATATATCGATCGTTATATTAGAATTACGTTCCTCGACTTATTCTATCGGAGGTTAGGTTTTCAGATTGCGTTCGAAAGATATGAATTTCCTCGAAACCTCAACATCTATCGAGTTTGCACAGGGAGTGTCGAAACTGTGTAAACTTCAGCCGCTATCCGAATTTTCGCCTATTGATTTTACAATCTCCGAAGCCCAGAATTATGGCATTGGATTCCAACGTCGGAAATGAGAAAGCCATAGCTGCACTGTGCGAAAGCGATAAGGAAATAGCGATTCGGTTCTTTATCGGGCCACCTTCCGTTCCCTGTAAACCTCATTTGCATAAAGGCAAGGAATTTTGGATTCTCTCCCTTTCGATACACAATCCAATCTTTCACACATCTTGTTTCAGTTTCACTTTAACTCTTCTAGCATCTATCCACGAGGTGGAAAATACCGGGTTAAACTAATTATTGGAATTTAATTTTAAGTGACAATTACAAAGGCAAAAAGAAGAATTAAAGATTTTCTGACATTTCTAGATGACTATGTACTATATTATCATTTTTCTTGTTACCAAGGGTTATTATCTGTTAAGATAAATAAATAAATAAATAAATAAAATAGATAAATAAATTTCGAAATTAACGATTAAGATATTCGAATTTTTGCTTAGATAATTACAAAGTGCAAAAATTAAAATTTGGTTTCGAATTAAGGAATTAAAAGTTTCTTGGTTTTTCGAAATTATCGATTAAGGTATTCGAATTTTTGCTGAAAATTATATTAGGAATGTATATATACAAAGCCTCGAGGAAAAATGTGAAGGGTGTTTCATATCTAAGAGTATAGCGAATGGCACGCAATGATATATCGTCGACAGCACTAAAAGGGTTAAGCAAACGTGTCATTCGATATCACACGTTGACTTCGAGTAACTCGATCTCAAGTTGGTGTCCTCTAGTGTAAATTGGTTTTGAGTTAATTTCCAATCTACTCGAAGCGCGTATTCAATATGGCGTCCCAGGAGTTAGCACTGGCTAGGGTCATCTTCTAATCGGCATTCATGAGTCACAAATTTAAACAAGCTTCACAATGAAGAGTACCGCATCTTTGCCAAAATCAAAATCAAAATCAACATCGAAATTGAAATCAAAATTGAAATCAAAATTGAAATCAAAATTGAAATCAAAATCGAAATCAAAATCGAAATCAAAATCGAAATTGAAATCAAAATTGAAATCGAAGTCCAAGTCCAAGTTAAAATCGAAGTCCAAGTCCAAGTCGAAATTGAAGTCCAAGTTCAAGTCTAAGTCTAAGTAGAAGTCGAAATTGAAGTCCAAGTCCAAGTCGAAATTGAAGTCTAAAACCAAGTCCAAGTCGAAGTCCAAGTCTAATTGTAAGTCGAAATTGAAGTCCAAGTCTAAGTCCAAGTAGAAATTGAAGTCCAAGTCCAAGTCCAAGTCGAAATTGAAGTCTAAGACTAAGTCCAAGTCGAAATTGAAGTCCAAGTCCAAGTCCAAGTAGAAATTGAAGTCCAAGTCCAAGTCGAAATTGAAGTCTAAGACTAAGTCCAAATTGAAATTGAAGTCCAAGTCTAAGTCCAAGTAGAAATTGAAGTCCAAGTCTAAGTCCAAGTAGAAATTGAAGTCCAAGTCCAAGTTCAAGTCGAAATTGAAGTCTAAGACTAAGTCCAAGTCGAAATTGAAGTCCAAGTCTATGTCCAAGTAGAAATTGAAGTCCATGTCCAAGTCCAAGTCGAAATTGAAGTCTAAGACTAAGTCCAAGTCGAAATTGAAGTCCAAGTCGAAGTCCAAGTCTAATTGTAAGTCGAAATTGAAGTCCAAGTCCAAGTCCAAGTCGAAATTGAAGTCTAAGACTAAGTCCAAGTCGAAATTGAAGTCTAAGTCCAAGTCCAAGTCGAAATTGAAGTCTAAGACTAAGTCCAAGTCGAAATTGAAGTCCAAGTCGAAGTCCAAGTCTAATTGTAAGTCGAAATTGAAGTCCAAGTCCAAGTCCAAGTCTAATTGTAAGTCGAAATTGAAGTCCAAGTCCAAGTCCAAGTCTAATTGTAAGTCGAAATTGAAGTCCAAGTCAAAGTCAATGTCGAAATCGTATCTTTCTTTAAAAAATTTGCAATATCGTACCACGGAGAGTCCGAAGCTTTTCGAAGAATTTCGTGTGCAATTCCGCGCGTGGATCATTCGGCTGGATATAATTAATTACCACGAACTGGACTCGCTTGGATGCATGGGCCCACGCAAAGCGGCGACAGCCGAGAGTGTGATCACAGACGGAAACACGTTATTCATTATCTCCGTGATCGCGAAAATGCAAAATTCATGGTGCCGACTTAAAGCCTTGGGCGCCGCGGCGCGCCGGCAGTATGGCGGCGAGAAAGCTTGATTAGGGGCTAATGAAACTTCGAATATCTTGGCAAGTCTATCCAATCCCGGGGCTGCTTCACCGCTGGGAGTTACAGCATAATTATGTCGTTGATAAAGCAGTTCTCTGCCCTCCCTCTGCAACCCTCTCGCCTCTTTCTTGCTGCAGCCGCGATACTACGTCGTCATGGCCCGAGCCAGCGTTTATTAAGCCTCGTTCGTCGATTACGCACCGTCGTCGCTTCATTTTACGCCGCGTGATGACGATGATGAATACACGCGTGCCTCCTATATGTAACGTGTTCTGGAAATTCCAGCCGGGTTGCCTTGAATAATGACACGTGGTACCCGGGGCTGGGACTACGTCACTGGCGGCGGTCGAAATTTCCTCGAGGGGCGGTTAAGGGGTGAAATATTTAGTTAGGGTGTCAATAAACAACGCCGAATTTTGGGATTTTAGATTCGTGGTTAAAAACTGAGTAAAAAATGTAGAATACATTTTTTTCGTACGAGCACTCGTTTCGGAGAAAATTAATTTTGAAAATTTGTGCGCGAGGCGCGCGTTTAATTATTGTTCGACTTAATTTAATTAATTAATATTATTTAAAATAATTTAATTAATAAATTTCGCTGTAAACTGATATTTTTACTCGTATTTGTGATCATAGTTATTTTCGACCACGCGAATCGCATTGTATGGGTCTTATTACCCCCACTCCACCTCCTAACTACGCACAACGCGATTATACACAGCAAACGCAACCCCGCGAACATTTGAAATGAATTTTCTCCGGAACGAAGCTACGTACGAAAAAATTTTATCCCAGCTTTTCGATTCATTTTTTAATGCAGAATCGTTTACACTTGGTAAAATTAGCCTGGTCCGCTTTGTTCTCGTTATATCGCTGAATTTCGAGCAACGAACCGCGCATTCGTCCAACCTTCCACGTCAGATGAAATAAAGCGTGGCTCGGTTAGGCGAAATTCCCTTAATTAAGCATTCCTTTCATCGTTTGCATTTACTTTCGAAACGAGATTTTGTAATTAAACACGCGAATGTCGGAATTAGAGTTCGACTTTAATGATAAATATTCAGATTGAGATCGCGCTGCGAGCTTTGCGATTTAAATACGAAACGAAGTAACCGATCTTGAAAGTTTTCTCATACATATTTCATGTTTCGTCCGAACCACGTGACAGCTCCGTGTTTAAGCTCCGCTATGCGTTTATGCCAGTTTCCGCGAGCCGAAATAATTATCCCGGCGAAGCAGGTGGATATTTTTATCGACATTCGGAGCATATCGCGCGATTAGGGGAAATTGCTTAACAGTTGGTTGTTCTTTGGAAGTTCAGTTACTATACATAGCTGCCTCTGACTTGGGGTAGTTTTAACGCGTACGTTTGAAGCATAACCTGTCTTCCACGGGAACTTTCCCTATCTAAAATTCATGGTTCATGAATTTGCTCCCCTGTGACTAACCGAAATCAACTCTAAGTATGTTTCGCTTATAAATAACTGTCTGCACTGCTCGCGTCGTTTTCAAGTGCCTAATTTGTTTAAGCACCCTCGTCGTGATTATAAATTTCCCTTGAAAAGGGCTGGAATTATTCAAGAGATTTTTTAGGGAGAGAAGGAATAAAATAAATATTCTTTATAATATTAAAGAAATATTCAAAAATAATTGTAGAATAATATTTGAAAAATTAGAGAGACTTTATGTTAGTTGACACTGAATCTAGCATGACCGGTCAAATGATCGATAAAATATGAAATAAAATGAGAAAAATTTGAAAGAAATTGAAACACAAAGAGATGCTGAAAAATTGATTATACCTATGTTAAAAGAAAAATTGAATAGTATGAAACGTTGATTGCGAAATTTTTAATTAAAAATTTGGAAAATGATAGGTTTAGCGTCAATTAAATTTGAGGTATTACGTTTTTTTTATTATTCAATTAAATTTGAACAATTTCGAAATTTTATATCGTTTAATTGAACGTAAAAGACAGAATTTACAGAATTTTTACAGAATTTTATACCATTAAACGAATTTGAATGACATAAGTATATTTATTAATGACATAAAGTTTCCTTTTTTTTTTTCTTATACTTATAAGTACACATCTCGTCTGTTTGTATATTTATATATTTTTATTTTTATTTTTATTTTTCTTTGTTACCGTTAATTTTATACCTCACTGTAATAATTTTCTTGTAATTTTTCTAATGGGTTAATCGCTTATAAATAAATAAATAAATACATAAATAAATAGAATATCCCATAAACAATTTGCCTAAAAGAAAATGATAAAATAATATTGGCAGTAATTAGTATAGTACAGTAATATAGTATAATACAGTAGCAATATAGTATAGTATAGTAGTGATATAGTACAGTACAGTAATATAGTATAGTATAGTAGTAATATAGTACAGCATAGCAATATAGTATAGTATAGTAATAATATAGTACAGTATAATAATATAGTATAGTAATTAGTATATATTTTAATATATTTATATTTGTATATTTATATTTATATTTATATTTATATTTATATTTATATTTGTATATTTATATTTATATTTGTATATTTATATTTATATTTATATTTGTATATTTATATTTTTGTTTATATTTATATTTTATATTAAATGATATTTCTTTGGAGTTAATGGAAACGCGAAAGAATCATCGAAAATGGAGAAATTAATCGGATTATTTCGAATACAAAGATCGTTCGTAATGCCGCTACATGAATGGACGTCATAATTGGCAGAAAGTGCGAAATTTAGCTATCGCGTTGCAAATCCTGTTATGTCCGCGAATGGGATAAAGTATTCGCGAATTTACGCGATAATTGCGGTAATGTAGCAGATGGTTCGCGACAGCATTAAACGTTTAATCGAATTGTCGTTGGCCGGCTGAGTATCTATCACTGCTGTCCACGTTGACATTTAATCGATGGCCAAACCGATAAGCGTTGCACACGAATAAATTTCGAGCTGAATGTGCTATTCGATTGCTCATAGTTCGTCGTCGATATGTGTGTTTACCCGTGATTTTTAGACGTGTTCGGGCATTTTGAATCGGAGAAACCTTTGTACGAGTATCCTTCAAGCTGTCGATGAATATAACAGTGTATTCTATAACTCGGTATTTGAATTATGATTTATGATAGACCGTGGATCATATTGCTATAGATCATTGTATTTCTCTACTCTTTTATCTTATTTTATTTTATTTCCTTTTTTAATTCAGGTTGGTTGGAGTAGGGATATTTTAATTGACTGAAGGACTCTGGATGACTATGTTGTCATAGGTCATCGTACTTCTCTACTTTTTTATTTTATTTTATTTCTTTTTTAATTTAGCTTTGTTGGAATAGGGATATTTTAATTGATTAAAAGACCCTGGATGACTATGTTGTCATAGGTCATTGTATTTTTCTACTTGTTGCTTCTTTTTAATTTAGATTTGTTGGAACAGGGATATTTTAGTGAACTGAAGAATTCTGGATGATTCTGGAAGGATTCTGTTACTATAGCTATATATCATTGTATTTTCCTATTTTTTAATTTTTTTATTTTCTTAATTTTTATTTTCTAACTCTAGATGACTAGGTTGTCATAGGTCATTGTATTTTTGTACCTTTTTATTTTTTTAATTTAAATTCGTTGGAATAAGAATATTTTAGTGGACTGAAGGATTCTGTGTGACCATGTTGCTATAACTATATATCATTGTATCTTCCTATTTTTTATTTTTTTATTTCTTTAATTTAGGTTTGTTAGAGTATGTGTATTGTAATAAACTAAAGGTTGCCTGTGCGTTGTGATTAACACGTAGATTTCCATGGTGGTCATGAGTAACGATTTTATAAAAATTTGGAGAACGTAAATGAACATCGAACATTGCGAAATGAAAAATGCTCTATTTTTCTTCATTTTTTAAATCGTGTTTTCAATTAACTATGAAAAAATATAAATTTGCAAATCGATTGATAATATTGGAAGTAATAGTACCCTTAACGAAATTAGATAAGAGGGTGCGTGTGTGAAATAATTTATAGTTTATTATCTATTGAAAACAATGCGATTTAATCGAAGTTATCGCAATGGATTTACGCCACAGGTATTGAATATAATAAAAAAGTATTGGTATTGTGTATGATACGATTTATTTGACCAATTTTTGCAGACTGTAATAAAATAGCGGTTGATCGATATGATCATTATCTTTAATAGTAATCTATAAAATACTGCGGATATCAGCGAGTATCGGTATTGCAAATACTACAGATAAGAGTATTGTAGTATTAATACTGTAAACACTGAATCCATCGAAGTTTATGATGTGCAGTAAAAGGATTACATATTGTAATATAAAAAGGTAAATAGATTTGAGAGTTTGAACGCATATACACATATAAAAATTATCTTTTATTACTCAGAAATTAAAAATATATAAAAATTCGCGTATAAGTAGCCCGTATATAATATATATATATAAAATCTCGTATAATTTTTAATATTAAAATCTACACATTTATCACATTTCATATACCAGATTATTAAAATAGGAAAATAAAATAGGAAAATAGGAAAAAGTAAAATAAGAAAAGCTTATATCATTACCAAATTTTGCAAATAAAATATACAACTCCGATAATAGATAATAAAATTAATAAATAAAATAAAATCCAAATTTTTCTTTCAATCAAAAATTCCAACCTCGTCCTTTAAATACGAAAATACAAATACAACACAGAATACTCTCTCATTTCAAAACCTACGAATATTAAATCAACATCCACA